GGGAGTAAGACACTGGCAACCAGCCAACGGGGAAATTTCTTCTCTCCCTTGAATATCTTGCTGCTCAAAATATGGTCCATAGACCAGCAGCAATGGTACCATAGGGGAGCTTGTGAGAAATGCAGAATCTCAGTCCCCACTCAGACCTACCGGACCTGAATCCGCCTTATAACAAGACGCCCGGTGATTCCATACACATTCAAGTGTGAAGAGCCCCGCTTTAATAGAAAAGGGGAGCCAGTTAGTGCAGGAAATTTAAGCTTTAACATAAACTCAACCCATAAAGAAGTCCAGAATTGAGCCATATAAATAAACAAACCCTTCCCAATTGCCCTTGGAAGGAGCTTTATACAAGTTTTCAAAAAGGAACCTTCTCAAACAGGAAGCAGGCATCTGATGACAGGGAGGGGCATCCCTGAACCTGATTTTCAAATGCACCTGCATTGTCGACATTGTTATTGTTGTAATAATCACACTGATGACCAGAGCTGCAGGCCAGTTCACACCTTCCAGCGGGGCAGGTGGGGACCTGCTGGGCTCGGACTCCTCAGCCATCAGGGAAAGGAAAGCTTCCTCAGAGTATTGTAAATTGCCTCCCAGTCTCTAAAAATACATCCCTTGACATTTCTCCAAATTTTTTTATTGGTTTTTCTACCCTAAAAAGTACTGCAAATGTACTGGTGGCAGGAGTAAGACAGATGACTTCCCACACAAAGGTTACTTACTGTGATGCCCCGTGAACGCCCACAGGAGTGCACCTGTGGCCTCCTGCACTCATTGTGGATTTGGGCAGCTTTAATCTTCTGTCTGCTGAACTGTCTTCCCACACCCTCGAGGGGCGGGTACCCCTTCTTGGAGCCCAGACTGACCGTGCAGGTAGAGCAGGAGGAGGCAGGCAGGACTCTCACCTCCATTACGGGTTGAGCGGGGCATCTCACCTGCTTAACAGGTCACCAGGATGGGGAGGGAAAGCCTTGACCCCCTAGCGCCTTGCCTTTGGGAGAGAACTGAACTGTGGCGGAAGGGGCTCATACCCTGTTCCTGCCTGCTCAGGAGCTACTTAATCTCATAAAGACGGAATAACTAAATTATTTAATATTTATTTTTGAATAAACACCTATGGAAGTTTATTAAGTTTCATATTTTATAAAGCAAACTTATGAAAACAGATTTTTAACAAACCCATTCTGTATGCCAGGGACTCAGCTAAGCCATCACCTGCTCTATGTCATTTAATCCTAACACCTACCCCATGAGCTTGGTTTCATTATTCCCATTTCACAGGTAAAGAAACTAAAGTTCAAAGTGGTTAAAGGACATCAGGTTGACCCAAGCCAGGTCAGCTGGAGTTGTTTCTGGGTAAGTGTTAAACTGGAACCCTCAGAGAGGGGAATCTGAATAAAAAAGAGCCTGAGAGCCTGAGACACAAATTGAGACTTTTTAATCCATTGCACATGCGTCTTCATCTCTCACATCTGATTGGCTGTAAGAACAAAGATCTGCAATGCTCTCATCCCTTTGTTAAAGCATTCGCATTGACTTCATCACATTGACAAGATCTTAGAAGTAGATCTGAGATCTTTTTAAAAAAATATATTTTATTGATTTTCTACAGAGAGGAAGGGAGAGGGATAGAGAGTTAGAAACATCGATGAGAGAGAAACATCGATCAGCTGCCTCCTGCACACCGGCTACTGGGGATGTGCCCGCAACCAAGGTACATGCCCTTGACTGGAATCGAACCTGGGACCCTTCAGTCCACAGGCCGATGCTCTATCCACTGAGCCAAACGGGTTAGGGCAGATCTGAGATCTTGCATGAACCAGAATTACTGAGAAACTTTCACAGCAGCCATGGCAGCACAAAACGATTTTAAATGACCAAATAGTATTAATGAACAAGCCTGAAAACGGAATTTCATAGAGAATATCAAATTTCTCCTTCACACTAATGTGATAAAAATTTTAAAATGACATAAATATGTTTTAAAGTCCTAGTGGTAACTGCTAAAAGTAGCCAGTCACACAACAGCTATGCATTGTTGGAAGTCCACCCCGTGTGGTGGAAGTTTTTATTAGCCCGAGATATCAAGTTATTCCTTTGAGATTTCAGCTTTGGTTAGTCTTCTTTGGCTAACATAAATTTTAACTGGAGGTTTGTCTATGGCAACAATACATAACCAAGTAGCATTCTTTATTAAATAAATCTATGTTATCTCAATGCCCTGAAGGAATCAGCAGAATGTTACCACTGTCCATCTGTCCACAGTGAGAAAAATCGAAACCAACATCTGAAGTATTATCAGTTTATGCAAAGTACATTACATGAGTCTAACTTCAACACGTGCACACATCTTCATACCTGGAAATCCTTGTAAATACCAGAGTAAAACATTTACTTTTTTTGCCAAGGGAATAAAAAGGCACAACCGATCTTGATAGAAAAATATTTGAAGGCTTTTAATTCTCTGACTACCAAGAATTAACATTTTATGATTACCCTTTGAAAATCAGGTATTTGGGAACAATTTTAAAGTTTTTAAAAAACAGTACAAAGCTTATTCACATTCTTACCACATCGCTTTCACAAATTGCACAGTGATTTCCTTATAAAAAAAGAGCAGCCAAGTTTTGGGTGGGCCTGTCACTGCACAAGACGAAGTCTTCTGGGCTACGTCCAGGGCCCCCTCTCCCATGTGGTCTTCGTGGTGCAGCGACACTTTATGACATGCGTTCTTTAAAGAACCATTTCTGATGTTCCGAGTTGGTGCAGTCTCGTAAGAGTGGTACGAAACTGTTGCTGAGTGCCTTCTTCTCAGCCTGAACACATTTCTTGGACTGTATGTGAAATAAAGAACCGTCCTACAAAAGATCATAGACAATGGACGTTCAAGAGAATTATAAGCATTTCTCAGAAAGTACCTTTTTCCTTAAAATGTGTTGTGCTCAGGGCAACTTTGATCATTTAAGAAAAATCTATTGAGCAGTAAGTGTCTGCATGTGGAAAGGCAATCCAGGCCCGTCTGTGCAGAGAGAGGGCCAGGTATGCACAGCATGTGTCATGCTAGCCTTTCACAGGAGCAGTTCACGGGGTCGCAGACTCCGCTGTCAGGGCCAATGGTGCCACCTGCTGGCTGCTCTTGGGACCTGCCAGATCCTATATCTCAGCTGGACAATTTTTCTTTTCCTTCAGGGAAATCAGGACCAAAGAAAGACTCTTTATGAATCTCTTCCACTTAGGTCAACTAATTCCATCCCTGGAGATCTCTTTCTCTTATGTATTTAAATGGAGAGTCGGGAAACTTGGCTTTAGTCCCAGCTCAGCTACAGACCAGCTGAGGGAGGGGAGCAAGTCAGCAGAGAGAAAGTGGGTTCCACAGACTGTGTCAATTCCCAAACTCCCAAAGACGATGATCCTCTTTAATGCCTCCCTCTTCTCTTCTTTTTCCAAACTGTTGCTGAGTTAACTCAGCAAATCTCTCCCCAGGTCCTGGAGTTTTCCTCCCCCTGATCCCCCTTTCTATTGTAAACTGTACATCCCCAAGGAACTTAATCATGGCCCGGCGACCAAAGGGCAGAACAGTGACATAACCTGTTCCAGGGCAAGAGAAGCCTTAGTAATAAAATTAGATGCAAAGGAATCTCAAAAATATTAACCACAAGAACCTTTTAAAGTGCTCATAAATTGCCTTTAGAATAATGTGAAAGTAAACACAGGGCTACCTCATTTTATTACACATCCTTGTATTGCACTTTGCAGATAATGCTTTTTTTTTACAAATTGAAGGTAAGACCCTCCACCAGCAAAATTATTATGACTTTGAAGGCCCAGAAGATAGTGAGCATCTTTTAGCAATGAAGTATTTTTAATTATTGTTTTTTAAACATATGCTATTATTACACACTTAAGAGACTACAGTATAGTGTAAATATAACTTTTTTATGTACCGGGAAACCAAAAAAATTAACGTGGCTCGCGTTATTGCAATACTTGCTTTATTGCAGTAGTCTGGAACAGAACCCGCAATATCTCTGAGATATGCCTGGAATTAAGTAAAGCACCCCTCCTCCCACCCTTCTGAATAGACTTTTCCTTAAATGGTCACTGAACTTTAAGATAGTCCAGCTGGTGTTGCTCAGTGGTTGAGCGTTGACCCATGAACCAGGAGATCACGGTTCCATTCCTGGACAGGGCATACGCCCGGGTTGTGGGCTTGATCCCCAGTGTGGAGTGTGCAAGAGGCAGCCAATCAATGATTCTCTCTACTCATTGATGTTTCTATCCCTCTCTTCTTCTTGCTGAAATAATTTTTTTAAATGTTTTTAATTAAAAAAAAAAAAAATTTAAGATAACATTTCAAACCAATTTTGTAGTCTCTTTCTTGCATTGCTGTTCTTTGAGGGCTTACAATGGCTTCCAGTGAAAGAAAGAAGAGAAGGGGGAGGGCATTGCAGAGGGTCATCGACTCTTGGGGTTTGCAGAAATATTCCCCTCATTTTTTTATATCAGGTAGACAACACTATGGTGCCTCGCTTTTCCAAGGAGCCTGCAAATTACATTGCTAATCATGACATTTTCTGCAGGAAAAAGTACTCCAACTTCTAATCCTACTTGGAATTACCCTATTTATAAGCAGTCTAGATGACCCTTTCCATCCCTGGGGCCAGTCTGGGAATGACAGCTTCCCACGGAGATGAAGGGAACTAATTTTTCTTCTGAATTATTTTCTTTGGTTTTATTCCCTCAAGTGCTCTCTTTGTGAGTCAAAGGATATGACTGATTTATGAGTCGCATCACGGGCTGACCGCGAACATAGTGGAGCTAGTGCCCTTCATGCTTGAAATAACACCCAATTCCAACTCAACGACTATTCTGATGGAGAGCCAACTCCCTCAGAGAGATCTCTTCTTGGTTATTCTACTGACAGTAACGACTAATCTTGAAAGAGCTTCCTAGTTTCCAAATATTCCTAGCCATACATCTAATCCTCGCTAGAGTTAAGACGAGGAGACTATGACTGCCCACACTTTAAAGCCGGGAAAAGGAGGCTTGGAGAAGTGGAGTGACTTATACCTCCATCTAACCTCCCATCCTTACACGTTGGTGATCTGTTTCACTTGTTTAGACTCCATTTCCTTCTAATCCATCTGCGGCAGGTCCTCTTCCCATTTCTGGGCTGCAGCTCAAGGTGGAAGGTGGGGGCGGGGGAGGGGGAGAAGGGGACTGAGAGGAGTTGTCAATGAGGGGAAAAGGAAAGCAGCTGACACTGGACCCTGGGATCCAGCAGTGCGGCCAGGGACTCAGGGTCACTGCGACCTTCTCCTCCTATACGTGGCGGCATCCCTGTGCCTCCACGCTCCCCTCCGCAGCCCACAGAGGAAGGAACGAGACCGCTCGCTCACCTCTTGCAGGATGAACTTCTGGTTCTCCGGGGCCGTGTCCTGGCAGAGGTGCATGATGAGGATATCTGTTCCTGCCTCCACAGCGATGCAGGCCTCTGGCTGGTGGGTGTTATAGCGAATTTCATTTTGGGACGTGTGCTCGAAAAACTAAAAACGGAGCAGCCAACAGGCGTCAGTTACCCTCTGACGTGGAAAGGGGAATTGCTGGATGAGAAACTGGGGTCACGAGAGCGTGGGAGTCGGGCCCCCTCACTCTCCCCTCACCCGCTGACACTAGCCCAGCTGTGGGCAAACTACGGCCCGCGGGCCGGATCCGGCCCCTTTGAAATGAATAAAACTAAAAAAAAAAAAAGACCGTACCCTTTTATGTAATGATGTTTACTTTGAATTTATATTAGTTCACACAAACACTCCATCCATGCTTTTGTTCCGGCCCTCCGGTCCAGTTTAAGAACCCATTGTGGCCCTCGAGTCAAAAAGTTTGCCCACCCCTGCACTAGCCTGTCTGATCAGTCAGCCTCCTGCGTGTCCCCCCAGCATTTCAGCACGTGGTGTGGGGCTCAGCAAGTGTGAAAGGAGGGGCCTTTCTCATGTCCCCTTGCTTGTTAGATAGCGAGTGTGGGACTGGTCCCCATGCAGGTGGGGAACAGCAGGAAAGACAATGGATGCGTCCCAGTGCCAGCACTTGGGGCTCCGCCGCCTGGACTAGCCATTTCCTCTCTTTCCTTCAGTCCTCTCGTCCTCCTCCCTTGGAGATACAATGAGTGCAACGGTGCCTTGGAAACTATCAAGTGCTGTGCGCAAGCCGACAATGTGACTGCCAGTGGGAAGGCTTGGTTCTTCCGGAGCGATGGCTTCCTCCTCTAGAGTGCCCGGGGCAAGAGCTGCGTGCGAGGCTGTGGCCCCATCCCCGAGAGGGACTGAGGGCCCTTCTGTGTGAGGGGGGTCTAGGAAGCCGCATTTTGACATTTTTAACAACTCAGCAACTCAGCCTCCGGCCTGCCCTGCACCACCCCCGCCCTTCCGGGAGATTTGGACACAGGTGGCTATCCTGAAGGCACGTGGGGCATTGCCTCTCAAAGGGATCTCCCAGAAAGCTGGTTAAACAAGCGGCTGGGGTTCCAGAGGGACAGGGTAGGTCCGAGAGTTTGCATTTCTAAGCTCTCGGGGGACGCTGCTGGTGCCGTCGGAGGCCCAGCTTTGAGCACTGTTCTAAAAAGTGCTGGAGAACCTGAGTAACTTAAGTTGGCTGAGTTATGAAAGTTTACTGTTGACCATAAGGGGGCTTGACAGTCATAAGGAATTGCAGGACCTCCAGGTTGGAAGAAAACCTGAACCCCACCCCTTCGTCTCCAGTGTCTGCCAACTCTGAGGACAGCAGGCTTTGAGGTCTGGAACCAACGCTTCGCGGCTCTCCTGCCTCCTCTGCTGGCCCCGGCCTGGTGGGTCCATCTGCTTTCCTGGGCCGTGGTCCTGTCCTGGTCCTTAGACCCTCCAGACGTGCTCCCTGCCCGGCCTGAAGGACAGCACTTAACTCAGGTCTGCCCCGGTGCCCAGCTGAGGTGACTGCCCTGGACACTGCTTTGCAGGGTGGCACTCGGCATCAAAACCTGCAATTCTGTTTAACAGCTAATGATAAGGGAGTCATCCAAAATGCAGATCTGCTGGGGTTTTTTCCTTCCTTTTTTTTTTTTTTTCTGACCAAAGATGTTAGTGGCAAGATTATCTATAATCGCAAAAATCAGGGAGGCAGGGAATCGTTAGTAAACAGTAATACAGCCACACAAAGACCTGTCAGAGGCCAGTAGGAATGGTCTTCTCAAAGGATGTCTAATAACACACGTATGATCAAGCTCATGGAAATGCAGAGGGAAAACATATAGACATATGAAAATCACCATGTAAAACACACACAAAAAGAGGGGAAGTAAATATATCTTAATCATTGTGGTGGTTGCTCTGCGTCCTGTCATTCTCTGTTCACTTCTACTTTTTATACTTCCCAGATGCTCTGTAGTGAGTATATATTACTTTTATAATGAAAAAAATAGCGAACACGTAATTTTTTAAAAGCACATAATTTCCCCTCGTTTTCCCCTTCAGAGGCTCACACCGAGGACCCCTTGAGCACCGAGCCTCCCACTGCGCTGCCCCCGCAGGAGACCAACAGGCCACAGAGAACAGCACGTACCTGGTTCTGGCCCATCCCGTGGCAGAGGTACAGGAGGACCTGGTGTCCCGTGAGGCCGTGTTCGCTGGGAGGGTTATAGTCAAAGCAGTAATCTTTCAGTCCTTTGTTCTGCAGCTAAACAAAACGCACAGGGGCCTTTCGGTCCAGACTTACACACAACCGATTCCACCCAAGGCTCCGAGGGAAGGTCAACAGAGTGGGAGGAGCACCTGCCTCAAGAACTGGACTCAATGGTAAGAGCCCCTTACATTTCTCACTTTAAACATGCTTTCCCGCCCTATACCGTAGGCGGGGATCAGAACCCCATTTTGAGGTGATAAACCTGAGGATCAGTGAGATTAACTTTTTATGACCTGAAAGCCCATACTCCTCGTTTCTCTTTAATGCAGCCTTATTGCTGCACTAGTCCAAACATAGCTGGATCGGCGCCTCACCAATATACCAAGGAGCTCCTGTTATTACGCATCAGCAAAGGACACCCCAATGGACAGACTGGGCACTCCGCAGATCACAAGGCCACCTTTCTAAGCACTAAAAACAGCATAATTCAAAGAGCCAATGTTGCCCAAGGTACCCCAACAAGTAAGTGGAGAAACCTGAGTCTTGAATCCAGGACCTCTGACTCCAAGTCCAGTGCTCTCTCTATCACTCAGCAGTGTCTTACCTAACGTCACCTCTGACGTATCTCTTGGCTCTAAAACCCTTTAATCGCTCTAAGAGCAAAAAAAAACCACGGCAGGTTCCATGTTCCCTCCTCCCTTCCAGGAGCCTCTGGGGAAAACTCAAGTACTTTCCGCATTCCTTCCTGGAGAGTTCAAAAAACCCCTGAACCCACTGCTGCCCTGGCCCTTGTCTACTCTTGACTAGTCTGTTCTGATGACAAGACTCAGCCATATTGAAGGAAGGATTCCACAGCCCAGTAGCTCGGAAAGCACAGCCCTCCGCGTTCTTGAGATCGCTTTGCGTGTGAAGGAGCCGGGAACAGGACAAGTCCCCGTGACTCTCCGTGAACCTATGATCAATCTCACCACTACCAGCAGGAGGACCACACATTGCGCGCTCCCTCTATGACATGATAGGAGTGCACAGCACACCTGTGAAGGGTCCTTGCCAGAGAGATTTCTCCAACTCCAGTCACACTTTTAGACCTCACTTCCATTGTAAAGAATATGAGGGAGAGGCACAAGTTAAAAGTCAACACAAAGAAACAATCAGACAATCCCACAGGTGAGGCACTCTCTAGGGCAACTAATGCTGTAGCAAAAGGGGGGAAAAAAAATAAGAAGAGGAGGAAGAAGAAGAGGAAGGAGGAGGAGGAAGAAGAAGAAGAAGAAGAAGAAGAAGAAGAAGAAGAAGAAGAAGAAGAAGAAGAAGAAGAAGAAGAAGAAGAAGAAGAAGAAGAAGAAGAAGAAGAAGAAGAAGAAGAAGAAGAAGAAGAAGAAGAAGAAGAAGAAGAAGAAGAAGAAGAAGAAGAAGAAGAAGAAGAAGAAGAAGAAGAAGAAGAAGAAGAAGAAGAAGAAGAAGAAGAAGGCCTGCCTTAGATTAGAGAGACTTTAGAAGATGCAGCGACCATATGCAATGTGTAGGCCTTGTTTGGATCCCAAAGGGAACTTGCCAAATAGTCCAAGAGAAATTTGAAAATCTGGGGGAATCTGGATAAGGGATGGATGTTAAATGACACCAAGAAATTGTTGTTCATTTGGTTAGGGGTGATAACGGTCTGTGGTTTTGTAGGATGATGTCCACGTTTTACTAAGATTCATGCTGAAGTGTATAGGAGTAAAATGATACAATGTCTGGGGTTTCCTTGAAAAAAGAAAAATATGGGAGGGTGGAGCAGCGGAGAGGGAAAGCAAGAAAGGCAAAATGTTGATAATTCAAGAATCTCAGGGACAGGGTTCATGATACCATTCTCTCTGGTATAAATTCATAAGGAAACTGAATTTAATGCATGGATATCCTGCTTGGTGTTTATCAAAAACTTTCAGGGGAACACCAGCACTTCTGCTCAACACGGCCAGGAGACCTCCCTTGCTAACTCAGTGAATTCCTAGCAAAAGCCAAAGGCACCAGACATTTTAGCTGGCCTCACCCCAGGAACATTTCTTTTAGGTTTCTTGAAATAAGAGAAGCGACTCTCCTCTCCCCACCACTGCCTTTGTGGATCCCAGAGTTGGTAATTAACTGATCTGGCCACTGAGATGTGAAATAATGTTACAAGCTGCTGGTAAAGACTCCGACATGGAAACATCAAATGAGCCTCAGTTTCCTCATCAATAAAATGGGAGGTTTATACTCATCAATTTCGAGATGGCCCCCAGGACTGACACTCTGGACCTGAGTCCCAAACCCTCACAGGGAGAAGGAAGAACAGTGGATGAAAAGGGAGAGGAGTTTGGCCGTGGTCCTCACAAAGGGGCCTTTCTGGCCCAGGGTTTGTTGATCAGACCTGGGGGCCAGAACTCCCTGCCCAGCACGGGCCGCCTCGCTCACCATCCCGAAGAAGCCAGGCCTGTCCTCAGGCACGTGCAGTTCTGGATACACGGTCTCCAGGAACCACTTGAAGTCCTTACACTGAAGCTTGGCGCGAAGCTGCTTCCTCTCTGTCACGTCCCCAAAGGGCTCCTGAGAAAAGAACAAAACAGTGAGCCGCTGAAGGTGACGGCACTTCCTATCAAAGCCCTGCTCTCCACTGTGGCCCACTCATTCACTAAGCTTTTATTGAGCACCTAATGTGTGCCGGGCCCTGTGCAGGGCACAGAGTACCAAAAACAGCCTCAGACAAAGTGGAGCACACCAGCAGGAGAGACTGTCACACAACTACATTCCCAGGTGCTCTTGCTACAGGGAGGTGCAACCAGGTGCACAAGGAAGGACACAAAGCACCTGCTGGTGGGATGAGGAAGCCAAGCCCTGGGGCTGCATTGGACCCCTGGGCCAGCAAATCAATGATGACCGTGTGATCACAGACCAGCAAAATGTCAGCAACAATCATATACAATGACATTCCAATTTACTACTCATATCTGACATTCACTTTCAAACACAGGTAAGTATTCTAGCTGTAATCATGAATGAAAACCTTATGTGCTCAGTGTATTGAAGTCTAAATATATACTTACTAGAGCCCCAGTGCAAAAATTCGTGCATGGGTAGGGTCCGCCCACCCGCCCAATGGGGGCCGATTGGGGCCAGGCCGTTTGGGGCCAGGCCGTGGGGGAGGGGATACAGGAGGTTGAGGGGGGGCGATTGGGACCCCAATCAGGCCAGTTGGCCACCACAGTATGCGTCACAGCGACCAGTCGTTCCAGCGTTCCAGTCGCTTGGCTTTTACATATATAGATGATGACAAAAGCAGAATGCTACAATAATAAATACTACTGGAAGTTTAGTGTTCTGGACAAAACCACTGATTAAGAACTTTCTGCCCTGGCCAGTTTGGCTCAGTGATTAGACCATCGGCCATGGACCAAAGGGTTGCGGGCCTGATTCCTGGTTAGGGGTGCATACTTCGGTTGCAGGCTCGATACCAGCCCTGGTCTGGGTGCAAATCAGAGGAAAATCATAGGAAACTAATCGATGTTTCTCTCCCTTGGGCAAGATGGAGGAAGCAATGAGCCTGGAACCTAGAGGCAGAGAGAAGTCCAGGGAGCTCAGGGCTCTGCAGAGCACAGAGAGGTCCACTGGAGTGTGCACACCCCAGGCCCAATTCTTCCCGCGTCAGCTCTGAGGCCTGGGGCAAGTTCCTTAACTCAACCTCTCTCTGAGTTTCAGTTTTCTCCTCATCTCTTTTCTTTTTTCTTTTTTTTAATTTAATTTTTATTTTTATTGATTTCAGAGAGGAAGGGAGAGGGAGAGAGAGATAGAAACATCAAAAATGAGAGAGAATCATTGATCGGCTGCCTCCTGCACATCCCCCACTGGGGATCAAGCCCACAACCCAGGCATGTGCCCTTGGCCGGAATCGAACCCGGGACCCTTCAGTCCACAGGCCGACGCTCCATCCACTGAGCCAAACCAGCTAGGGCTCCTCATTTCTATAAAATGAAAAATTCAGAGCCAGCCTGAAGGGCTGCTGTGAGGAATCAGAAGACATTTTCAAGTGGCCAGGAAAGAGGTCTTGGAGCAGACCTTCTTGCCTAGCCAAGCAGCCCTCTTAATTATGGGAATGAGCGTCAGTGGGCCCCTGTCCTGGGGTGTGCAGAGCTGGCCTGTGCAAGGGCAGTGGACCTATTTGTTAAAATTTGCTTGTAGCCCTAAGATCAACTAGTGTTCTCCGGCTTCTGTCATTTGAGGACATACACAGGGCAGGGAAAATTGTGAGTCACCCAATGTGCATGTTCTAGGCTCTCACACTGTAAACAAGTGCCCTTTTCATGCTCCATTCAATGTCACATCTTTCAGATTTTTGTGCTTTGTGCTGGGGAGTTCACCATTGGAAATGGCCCCTGAGCGTAGTGCTGAAGTGCCGTGGAATGCTCCTCAGTGTCAGCAGGCTGTGAGGTGCCTGACGGGGAAATTTTGTGTGCTTAATAACCTTTTTTCATGCACAAGTGACAGTACTATTGGCTATGAGTCCCATGTAATGAACCAACAATATATTAAATAAGATGAAACACACATAAAAGCATGGTTATGTATAGATCGGTTGACAAAAATGTCAACCTGCTGGAGGCTTCCATGAACCTAACCCTGTATTTCCCCCAAGGGTGATGACTCAGTGTTCCCAAATTCAGTGTGTACGGTGACTATATAGAACATAATTACTGCAAATAACGAGAATCAACTGTAAATTATAAGTGAAGGAATAAAATTGTCCCATACTGTAACATGAGCACCCAATTTATTTTCTATTTCTGGGACATGGTCCACTATGGTACAGAGGCCAGATGAGCTGGTTTTGTTCAGATGAGGCGAGGCGGAGTGCAGGGGGCAGGAACTCACCAAGCGGGCGTGGGGATTGCGGTGGTAGTAGAGCTCTTTGAATTCATCCATCCACACTTCAGCTGCACGGACACTGTTGGCCAGGGCCTTTTTGCGGGAGTAGGGAGCTTGCTTGGGGAAAACGTGGCCCACGTGAGAACACGGGTGTGTCTCCAGGATCCCGCCGCACTGCCAGATCTGCACACAGAGCAGAGGAGAGGCCGTGGTAGGTGAGCAGGGGATGAGGTGCTGGCCCATAATGCCTGCGGCCGGGAGGCCGAGCACAGACGTCATGACGAACACTGCCACACTCTCACCCTCCACGGGCAGGAGGCCACTTCCACAGCACCCTCAGAACACAGACTGCAGGCAGAGTACGAAAGCAGCTCCGAGACAAACAAGCCCTGGAACCAAGACCCCACGTCCATGCACTAAATCTCATGCACTTGATGCCTGACGGGACCCATCGCTGACCTCGTTGGGAACCCATTCACTCAGGATGTAAAATGCAGGCTGATTACCTGATCTGCTAGCCACAGAAGATAGGAAAGCAGCAAGTAAGAAGAGAGGTTTGGGAGGGGGAAAGGAAGAGCTTCTAGAGGCAGGCAGAGCAGCCTGACACCTAGGGAAAAGGCAGAAAGACCATTAAAAGCCACTCTACAACTCAACTGTCATCGGGGGCCATTTCATGCTGGGCAAATCGCCATGGACACCCCACTGTCCATAGGAGGTATGGGGGGGGGGGGGGGGGGGGGGGGGGGGGGGGGGTGAGTCCTCAGTGGAAGGCCAAATTCTTGTTCGTTAGGTAACTCTTTTTAAGCAGGAAACCATATAAAATATTATTTAAATTTTCTATTGAAAAGCTTACATTAACATAAGGTTTTGATGCTTAAAATGCAAGGTTAGTTAACTGGAAAACCCACTGAAAAGCTTAGGGCTTCTCCAAGGGGCCTCATCTGTGAGTCGTGGATAGCAGAATCGGCAGATGGGCTTCTTACAAAAGGCACATTTCTGGTCCCAACAGTAAACCCATCAAGCCTGACTTTCTGGAGACGGTGCCTGTAAATCTGCCTTTTTAATGAGTTTTCCCACCAATTCTGTATGTGTCCAGGTTTGAAAGTTGCTGTGCTAAATAAAGAGGCCACTTCGTAAACAGTTAAGCAAATCAAGTCTCCAAAACATGGACTCAGGAGGCAGGGACCAAGTTTTAGTCTAGTCTCTGCCACTCACTCCTGAGCAAGTCACTTCCCCTCTCTGGGCTTCAGCTCTTCCCGCTATAGTAAGAACAAAGAACTAGGTGGCCTGCAAGGCCCTTTCCTACCCCAAATCTATTTAAAAGTAGATATTGTTTAAAATTTAAACAAGAAGGCAAGCATGTTTAAAGGATGTTTATGCCATTATCATCTTTCAGAATTTCTGGATAAATTACTAACGTGGAGGGAAAGTGTACCAGGACCTCATAAAATCCCATCATTCCCAAAGAGAGAGAGAGAAAAAACAGGTTAAGAATGAGTCCAAAGAGAAGACTGGAATACTTACCCTAAAGGAGAATTCGAGGTTTTCTCCGCCCCAAACTTCCATTCCTGTATCATAAGACCCCAGATATTCAAAATATTTCTTACTCACAGCAAACAGCCCACCAGCCATTGTTGGAGACCTAGAAGCATATAAGATCCATATTGCCATGCAAGCAGCAGGAAACACTGCTAGTTGAACTCCTTTCCCACCACAAGCCCTTCAGTCCAGTCATGCATCTCTAAAGAGTACCCTGAGCTCAGGCTCTGCCCAGCACTAAGCTAGGCCTGGGAGCACAGCCATACCCCACAGTCCCTGCCCTGGGGAAGCACACAGACATCTCAACAGGCAAGTACATAACTCTGTGCCTGATAAATGTGTCAACTAGGGTGGGGGGCCCAACAGCTAACGATCCCTCCCAAGGGCCTTCACTGACATGTTAGCCAGATGCAATGAGGCTCGCTCAAAGAAGTCGACCCCTGACCTGATGACATCGACAGGGGACCGCATCCGCATCCTCTCCCTCTCAGGAACCACGTGCCACGTGAACACCAGCCTCCAGTCGAAACCGCCGATCTGGGGTTCTCCCGAGTTCCCCAGGTACTCGAAGGTGTTCCAGTCAATCACATCAATCACAGGGCACACCACTGCCGACTCCTCTTCCTGGATCCTGCAAACACCCAGGACACCCCATTTCTCCACGTGGATGGGTACAGGAGGACCATTAGGAAATCTGGGAATGAACTCTCCTCACCCTTCCACTAGGAAGGAGGAACACCCATGTGAGAAAGACCTGCTTCTCTCATTCCAGGTGTCTGCAGCCATGTCAGGCAGGTGACCACCTTGGGGGCTTTTTAGGGGAAAGCGGGGAGCAAGGATTCTGACCTTAATATGAAACATCCCACAGCTTTAATGTTCTGATTCTATCTATGGATATTCCCACTAACCATGACTCCCTCTATGAAAGTCAAGATGTGTAAAAAATCAAAGGTAATTTTTTTAAAGAGAAAGCAGATTTTCAATTTCTCAAGACTGCAAAAGGTTCCTTCATTTAATCACAAGTAATCATAAAACATTAAGCTTGGCTCAGTGTTTGAGCGTCGACCTATGAACCAGGAGGTCACAGTTCGATTCCCGGTCAGGGCACATGCCTGGGTTGCAGGCTTGATCCCCAGTAGGGGGCATGCAGGAGGTAGCCAATCAATGATTCTCTCTCATCACTGATGTTTCTCTCTCTCCCTCTCCCTTCCTCTCTGAAATCAATAAAAACATATTTTAAAATTTATATATTTAAAAAAAATAAAATGTCCAGAAATAATAATCTCCCTGTGCAGAGATGCCCCCAGACCAAAGGGCCAGCTTTGGAGTTAGAATATAAATTCTAATCCTATTCACCGTGTGAACATTAACTGAGTCATCTCACCTCTCAGGGCCCAATGTGAGTGGGCAAAGTAGGTTTACAGTTGTTTGTATGGAAAATGATACAATAATTAATAAATAATAATACAAGAATAACCTCTGTGTTTCACGTACTCACGACAGTAAACTTGTTTTTGCCCACCCTGTATATACACATAGGGTTAACATGGGAATGTCCGTGAGATGGCTGGCAGAGAACCTAGAACAACTGCTATTCTTTTCTTTTCGTTTTTATTATTGTGAAACATTACACACAGTGGGAAACACTATGATTTTCTGTTGCAGGCATCAGCCTGTGTGTATGCTTTAGCTAGTTCCTCCACAATCATTATTATAAGCCCAAACATCCTTTGGCTTGCTGCTAGACTGTGTTTTTTTGCATTTGATAGCACATGAGGAAAGATGAGCTGAGACTGGACCATGTGTGAACACTGGATTTCTCTGGGTTACGTTCTGGGGTCTTTTATCTGGAATCTGATACCTAAAAATCATTAGTCACACAAAACAATGGTGAGAAGAAACAGAGATCCACCAAACTTGAGCTATCAGGGTTTTTAGAATAACACCAGAAATGAATGACATGATGAATGACACTGAGGTAAGAATTACAAGTTTGGGGACAATCGCACTATTCAGGATGGATTATGTGAGACAAAAAATCAAGCTTCTGAATTCACTAAATTCAGGAAATTGCAGAGTGAGTACTACCAATGCCCAATTCTTTAAATAAATTGAGGGCATTATTAAAAGGGGTGAGAGGGACAATGGCAGACCTGCTGGGCAGGTTCAAAGATGCTGCATAGCCTCTAGCAAAGACCCCAAGAACTTGTGACTTGTGATCAAGCTGGTTGGAGCCATGGGTAGCCTAAATTTTACAAGAAAGAGAAAACTGGGGAGTCAGCACTGGAGTGGACTCTGAATCATGGTTATGGAACGTGCAGGCCGAGTAGCAGAGTGCCCACAGAGGCACTCACTCCTGGCATCTGGGCAGAACCATCCTTTGCTGTGCAGGTTGCACACACTGCAGATGTTTGGCATCCCTGGTTCCCAGCTCACAAAATGCCAGGAGCACTACCCGCTGGACATGGCAACCGAGAACATCTATTTCCAAAAGCCCATGGAAAGAATGGCTATGTTCCTCGTTAGGACCATCTGAGAGACACTGTCCAGTGACAGAGGACTTGTCCAAGGAGCCACTGAACCCAGGCGCCCCACGGCCTCTCACACGTGGTGATCAGTCTGTTTTTGCTTCTGTGTAGTATTGGGACCTTCCCCACGTGGACGGCTCACGTACCTCTGCAGCAGTGGCTCCAGCCACCCCTCGTGGCACTCACAGTGGCAGTCCAGGAAGGTCAGCACTTGGCCCTTTGCCGCGGAAGCCCCCAGCAGCCGGGCTCGCACCAGGCCCTCCCTCTTGTTGGCGCGGATCAGGCGCACCTTGGGCAGCTTTGACAGCTCATTTTCCAGGCGTTCCTTCAGGTGCTCTGGGGAGGCAAGTGGGACAATGAGGGACACACATCCCAAGCGAGGTCCTTGCAGGGCCACCCTGTCCCCAAAAGAAAACTAAACAGACATAAGCCTCCTTTGCTCTGCAACCTAGAACATGCTCACCTCACCCAGAACCAAGGCTGCAAGCACCCCAAAGGCCAGGGGAGACTGGGGGGGAGGAATTCCAGAACCACCAAATGCCTAAAATGGGTGACATGTATGCAGATATATCTCAATAAAACTGTTACCCCCAAAATACATTACACCTTGATTTATGAACATTTAAAAATAAAAAGCTCAAGAACCATCTGACCACAATTTTTCTGAAAAATTGTGTTAATATAAATTTGTTAATTTATGTTAATTATGCAATATGCTATACATTTTTAATTTATATGGAATAATCTATACTAATAAAAGCATAATATGCTAATTAGACCAGAAGTCCTTTTGGACGAAGCCAGGGCTGCAAGGGAAGCCCGGATCCCAGGTGCCAGAGGGAAGCTGGTGCCAGCAGCCGGGGGAAGGAAGGCCTACTCTTGCACAAATTTCATGCATCAAGCCTCTAGTTTTAATATAAATTTTGTTATTATAGCTATATTATTATAGTTATATTAGTGCACATTTTATTATATGATGTTATGATAGTTCTGTTCATGTAAATTTTCTCAGTAGCATATTTCAGTTGACACCGTAATAGTAGTCATAACAATGGCAGCTAGCCTGAGAGGGCCGACTATGCTCATTGCTAAGTGATTTACATGATTCTCACAACAATCCTACAAGGTAGGTACCACTATTACTCCCATTTTATAGATGAGAACACTAAGGCCAGAGAGGCTAAGGAACTTGTCAAGGTCAGGGTCACAGAGCACGTAAGCTGAGGACCCATGATTTAAACCCACGGACTCTGCCTCCTTGAGTCCACAGGCTTAACACTGCCTCCCAGAGCTTTCTTGTGCACCTTCTGAACTTTATTAAAGTAATCTACAACTTGTCAGGAGAACATCCTCTTTTGCTAAAGAGGAAATGAGTCCTTAAAAGTTGAAAGGATGGCCGAAACTGGTTTGGCTCAGTGGATAGAGCGTCGGCCTGCGGACTGAAGGGTCCCAGGTTCGATTCCGGTCAAGGGCATGTACCTGGGTTGCGGGCACATCCCCAGTAGGAGATGTGCAAGAGGCAGCTGATCGATGTTTCTCTCTCATCAATGTTTCTGACTCTCTATCTCTCTCCCTTCCTCTCTGTAAAAATTTAATAAAATATATTAAAAAAAAAAAAAGTTGAAAGGATGTACCCACAGCTAGTGCTGACCCCAGACTCCCGACTCCATTCATAGGCTCTAGGGCTGGAGGCCCCCACTCACACCCCTCAGTGGTCAGGTGGAGGCTGGTGGGCACGCCTGGGGCAAAATAAAAATGAGAGAATTTCTCTACATCAAATGGGAAATTTTTATAAAATGTTCTAGGTTGCTTCATAGTTTGTGAAAATATTCTTGCCACTAAAAAAAAGGTAACACTCATCAGTTGTTTTTTTTCAATCCAAATATAACTGCAAGTAAGTTGATGGTAGGCGCAAGACAGAGGACTTCCCACGCAAAGGTAACTTATGAGGGTGCCCAGTGAATACCCCAAAAAGTGCACCTGTGGCCTCCTGCACTCATTGTGGATTTGGTCAGCTTTAATCTTCTGTCTGCTGAACTGTCTTCCGACACCCTCAAGGTGTGTCAGCCTCTTGGAGCTCAGACTGACAGTGCAGGTAGGGCGGTAGGAGGCAGGCAGGACTCTCACCTCCATTATGGGTTGAGTGAGCATCTGACCTGCTTTACAGGTTATCAGGATGGGAAAGGGAAGCTGTGGCCCTGAGGCACGTTTATGAGGGAACTGAGCTGCGCTGGAAGGGGTTCGGACCGTGCTCCTGCCTGCCACAGAATCCCATCAATCCAGTGAGTGCCCTAAAGATAACATTTTAAATCTGCTATTTGCTTCTGAATAAAGACATTGCTGAAATATTTTCGGCACTTTCTAGTTTAGTATTGCATAAAAACAGAAGTTATCATTTAACAAGTGCTAACACTATACCAGGCACTGGTACCTTGCTTTATCTCATTTAACCCTTGCAACAACCCTACAAGGTAGGAAATATTATTATTTTATTTTATCTATGTTAATGAATTACATTAATATATTTTAAAACAGGGGCTGAAGCCAAGGTTGAAACTGGTTAAGCTCCTTGCTCAAGGCTGGATTCAAGCCCATGCAGTATGAGCACCCAGCAGAGCACCCAGCAGAGTGAGTCCCTTTCCCATGTTTCCTGGAGCACCACGTGGTAGCACCCTCAGTCATTACATCTGTGTCCCTCCTCCAGGCTCTGAGCTCCCTAAGAGCAGGAGCCGGACACAGGGGGATGCAGGAGGGCTGTCCTTACCAGGCCTTATCGCACTCTCACCTCCCAGGCACTGCCATGGAAAGCTAGGCCCCACCAAGAGCCCATGTCGGGGGCTTACCTCTATCACTGTAGTCATCTACCAGGATAACTTCTTCTAGCAGGATGTCTGGGGACGTCTCGAGGACACTGTAAACTGTCCAAAGGAGAGTTGACCAGGCTTCATTATAAAATGCTATGATAATCGATGTCGTGGGCAATTGATCATAATCGTATTTCTTTTCTTTGCACCTGCAAATACAACACAACTTCAGGAATAGAGAACCGACTGTTGACTGTGTGTGTACCCGGCCAGGAGGGTGCTGGGGATGGGGTGAAGGGGACATAGGTCAAGACCAGGTCATGGGACAGTGAGATTTTCATATTGTTCCCTTCCATGGACCATCCATTCTGAGGAAGGCCAGCCGCCATGCAGTGAGGATGGAGCTGCTCTTAGCCTATGGAGAGGTGTATGGAGCGAGAGACTGAGCTCTCCCGCTACAGCCAGTATAAACTTTCCAGCATGGGATGTGCCTGCTTTTTTTAATTTATTTTTTTTATTTAATCCTGACCCAAGGATATGTTTTTATTAATTTTAGGGAGAGAGGAAGGGAGAGAGAGAGTGAGGTTTTTGAAAATCAAGTTGATGCAATTTAAAGAACTGTCCTTTAGTCTAAAATCACATCCCTACTGTTCTGGATTAAAATTTATTTCTTCTCATAATAATAAGCAGGAGGACAGAAAAAGCTCTGCTTGACCGAATAGAGTTGGGACAGGATGTCAGCCCCTCCTCAGAGCTTTTGTTTTCGTGTTTCCATTGGTCTGTGACAACCCAAAGCCCAAGGCCACTTTTCTCACTTGTCTAGGTGGGTTCTCTATTTGAGTCCCCTTAAATCACAAGAACGCTGCATACCACTTTGGCAACACACACTCAGAGCCTTAAAATGTTCCTCTTCTCTTTGATGTCATATTACTGTATCTAAGAACTCCTCATCTAAGACAATAATCAGAAATATCCTAAAGGAGGCTTGTGGTAAAAATTTTTCTTTGCAACATTATTTATAATAGCAAAAGTCTATTGACAATTTCAACGTCCAACAAGAAATGGTTAAATAAAACGTAGCATGGCTGCATGAAGAAATGCTACATGGCCACCCAAAACCACATCTTCAGAGGATATTTAACAATAAAAGACAATGACATTATATTGTTAATAAAAAAAAACAGAGTACAAATCTATACAGCATAATGCCAGTTCTATACACAACAATGTATGTATGCACATGCTCACACATAAGCAATAAACAGTAAGAAATATGCCATAATGTTAACAATGGTTATCTCTGAGCAGTAGATTATTTCTGATTATTTAATTTTTATGTTTTCCTGCATTCTAAAATTGTTCCATAATGAATTTGCATCATTCTTATAATCACAAAAAAGATTATTTTTTAAAAGCTGGATCATATTTCTTTAGCTCCCCATAGCAAATGCCTTCAATGAACAATAATTTAATATTCTGGCCTCTCTTTTTTTTCTGGGCCTGGTAGTTTCTCCTTCTCTCTTTAAAACATCCCTTAGAGGCATTCTCCTTTGTGACTGCCCAATGTGCCCTTCTGGAATGTTTTCACAAAAAATACTTTCCCCTTTGCCTGGCTGATAAAAAGCTGAGCATCCTTCAATTAGAGGAGAACAACTGAGTCACCCAGGGTTCCATTTTTGCCTAGGGGACAAAAGGAAGCTCAAAGCAGCCCAGCCGGTGTGGCTCAGTGGTTGAGCGTCGACCTAGGAACCCGATGTCACCGGTTTGATTCCTGATCAGGGCACAAGCCCGAGTTTCAGGCTCGATCCCCAGTGCAGGGCGTGCAAGAGGCAGCCGATCGATGTTTCTCATCGATGTTTCTATCTCCCTATCCCTCTCCCTTCCTCTCTCCCTAAAATCATTAAAAATAAACAAACAAGCAAATAAATAATTTTAAAAAGGAAACTCAGAGCCAAATTCACTGCTGACTCACATAAGCCATCCTTTCCTTAACTTTCTGGTATAACCATGTGCTTTGTGAGGGCAGTGGCTGAACTGTCTTTTTCTCTGGGTATCCAGCATGCCTTGCATTGTACCTGGTAATGGTAGTAGCGTGTATTAGGTGCTTACTACGTGATAGGCAGCATAAGCACTTCACATGCATTATTCCACTTAACCTCCACATTGGGTAGGGCCTACTCTAATCTCCACTAACACAATACATGTCTATGTAGTGTATGGAGACGAATGAAATGGGTGCAGTAAACGCCTCCTGAGCTTTTATCTTTGTTTTCAGGTTATCACATTGAAAATTCATATTCTTTGTAGAACAGGCCAGGGAGGTCATAATGTCCACTGGTGTGTTTTATCTGCCCAGATTCCTTTCTCTTTCTTCACAGTATTGCACTGATTTCCCTTTCAGAAACTATGCCTCCTGGACTCTCAGTCTGTGTGGTTACACACACACACACACACACACACACACACACACACACACACGTATATTTACATACACGCACACAGTCCTCTGGTAAGGTCAAATGCCCCAGGCCTGACGAGTCAACATTTTCTGATGATATCCATTGAATCTCTGAATCCAGGGCCCAAAATAATCTGAACCCAGTTCTCATCCCAGACTTTTCTACTATAAAAGTCAATATGTTTTCTTTTACATTTAATTCCGTTTCCATTGGGTTTTCAGTCACTTTCAACCCAAAGAACCCTAAGAGAGAAAAAGTATAACAAAAAGAAAGCATAAAATAAGATGGAATAATTAAATCCTAAAGTATTAATAAGCACAATAACTATAAATGAACATGACTATCTAGTTAAAGTCAAAAACTGTCAGTCTGGATTTTAAAACAAACAAACACAAAATTCAATATGCTAGAGACACACTTCAAACATAATTACACAGCGTGAGTGGGAAAAGGTATCATGGAAATACCAACAAAACTAAACACGTTCTAAACTTAAAGAACTGATTCAAAGAAAAGGTGCCACTCTGACGGCCACATGATGAATCTAATAAGAATAAAATATCTCGCAGTTTACAGCCTTGTTGGAGAAGCAAAAGAAGCATCAGTCTAATCTCCACACTATGTGTGATGTTTTTCCAAAGATAATGTTATCAAAATAGACAAGCAGGCTACCTCCCTGCAAAAAGTGAAATTCTAACCAACTCCCTCCTGCCAACCCCTGCAAGACACAAACACTTTTGCTAAATTAGCTAATTTGAGCTATTTTGAGACTGTCATCCCAGCACCCAAATCCTGATCCCTAAACTTAGTAACATCAGCAATTACAGTATTGATAAGGCTAAAACCAGAGCAAGCATTTAAAAAATGCAAATAGCTGTATATTATTTAGACACTTTCCTAACCAGTGGTTCAAACTCCTCTGCTATGGCAGAGAACGCCCGATGTTCTTATGTGTGGCATCCTCATCCAAGTGCCCATGAAAATGCACTGTCACTCAACTTTTCTCTCTGGCTAAATGAGTCAGAACACAAATGAGGATGACATTCTAGTGATGATCTCAAGGCTTCTCTGACCTAGGGAAACGAACACTTTCGGCAAATATTGGGAGTGCAAAATTGTTAGCAATCACTCACTTGTGACACACCTTCCAATGACTGTGATGTCAGCACTAGTTTCAACTGCACTTGGCCTGTTTTTAATCCCCACTTTGTCTACTTCTGGTATTCTCCCACACCCTCCAAAGCACCCACCCTTAATCTTCTGAGTGAGAAATCTTTAGGCTCTCGGCCAGTAGCTTTCAACACTAGTTGACATCAGCCTTAGCCTAGTCCTAGGCTCTACCCACAGAAAATTATATTTAATTGTTCTGGGGATGGTCTCTGAAATCAATCTTTTTAAGTCTCCAAAGGCCACAAACCCAGCTATCTGGCTTCCCACTTTGGCCGGCTGCCATCTCAGAGTGAAAGTTCCCTCTCCACGCTATGCTCAAATGATATGGGAGTTGTTAAAGGGTTTTGCAAACCCTAAACTATATCACCATGCAAGGATTGCTTGTCATCCTCCACCTCTTCCTCCTTGATTCAGTGCTATAACGAACAAAAATAAAGCTGTGCTCTAATCCACTGGCATGTAAAGTATTAGACTCAGACGAGCTGGGGTCTACAACAAGTTTTAAGGCAGTGGTTCTCAACCTTCCTAATGCCGCGACCCTTTAATACAGTTCCTCATGTTGTGGTGACCCCCAACCATAAAATTATTTTCGTTGCTACTTCATAACCGTAATTTTGCTACTGTTATGAATCGTAATGTAAATATCTGATATGCAGGATGTATTTTCATTGTTACAAATTGAACATAATTAAAGCAGAGTGATTAATCACAAAAACAATATGTAATTATATTATGTGTTTTCCGATGGTCTTAGGTGACCCCTGTGAAAGGGTCGTTCGACCCCCAAAGGGGTCTCGACCCACAGGTTGAGAACCACTGTTTTAAGGAGTTAGAACCAACACTCCTAAGTTTTTCTATCAGTCTGGAATCAAACCTGAAGGAATTTGAACCCGACCCCTGCAGTCCACGGGATAATGCTCTAACCACTGAGCAACTGGCCAGGGCCCATATGTATATTTTCAAAATCTATTTCCATACCTGGAAAAATCTAGGATGACAGCAAAATGTTAACAGTGGTTCTCCCCAGGATGGTAAGTTTATAGGTGATTTTTATTTTTTGAACATCTATTGTTTTTATAATTAAAACAGATAATTGACTCCACCCAAAAGGGAGGAGAGAATAAAAGATCTGAGTTCTAACCATGGCTGGTGTGGCTCAAGGGTTAGAGCATAGGCTCATGTACCAAAGTGTCACGGGTTCTATTCCTGGCCAAGGAAGGGCACATACCTGGGTGTCAGGTTTGAACCTTGGCCTAGGTCCCAGAGTGTGTGGGAGGCAACCAAGAGATGTGTCTCTCACATCAATGTCTCTCTCTCTCTCTCTCTCTCTCTCTCCCCTCCCTCCCTTCCTCTCTACTTCCACTCTCTCTAAAAATCAATGGAAAAACATCCTCAGGTGAGGATTAACAACAAAAAAAACCCATTTAGGTTCTAGATCAGCTCTCCCCAGATCTGAGTGTTAACTTGGCTTCTTCTCTTAGTTGAGACTGGATGCTGCCTCAGGGCCTTCCCTCCTGTAACATTCAAGCTTCTTAACAATCCCTCTGCTTATTAATTAGATTCCCAAGGGACCATCTCTCCCATGCAGACTGTGAACTCATAATCTGCCATTCCTCAGGCTAAATCTAAAGAGCCTGATTAAGTCCTCACCCCTGTATGAACTATAAAAGTGAGTCACCAAGAAAGGCCCTGGCACTATTGGCCACACCAAAGTTATACCTTAAGGCCTGGGGGGGCTGAGCCCAACAGAGATAAGCATACCTTTCTCTCCAGCTAGGCAAGAATAACCCAACAGGCCTTGCAGCAGGAATTAAAGGCTGGAGGTATTCAGACTCCTTATCATGCTGGGTTTGGATTAACTTCCCAGGGTCAATGCCACAGCAGGATCTATAAGCAAATCCTGATAGGACACAGGGCAGCTGCGTCACCATGGAGACAGGATACCATAGCCCATAGGTCACCCACAGTGTCCCAAAGCGATTTCACAACTGGGACAATAAAGGAAGTAGGAATCCAGAAAAGAAAAACTTTATGACCAATCCCTAGATGACTCTTAGAAGGGGCCTCCTGAGTAAATTATTAGCAACAGGGAAGAGAGGAAAACTAACAAGAATTGAGTGCACAGTGTGTTCCCAGGTGTTAAGTGCTTTATTACTGCCTAGGTTGGGTCTTTTTACTCATTCCCCATTTTTTGTTGTTGTTGTTAATCCTCACCCAAGGATTTTC